TAAACTGCTACGAGTACAGAGTGGGCAAATGCGGCAAAACGTATGCAACTGAATTCATTTTGTTGTAAAAATTTTTTTTTTATTTTAAAATATTCGTCACATACGAAGATTTTTTTCTAAAATTACAATGATAGGTGCTATTTAGATGTAGGATTCGGGAAGCAGGAAGGCTTTAAAATATGATTGCGGGTCACTCAGCTTATTTCCTAAATTAAATTCAGATATTTTGAACCCTGTCTAAGAATTAAAAACCTGAGCCGAACTCAGACGTAAAGCCACAGGTTGGAAGCACTGAGCTTTGAAAAGTGATATCCGACCACCCTTACAGCATTCCTCGGGCAACTATTCATAGAATTTAGAGATTCAAGCTCGCGCCGTAGATTAGTTCAATTGATTTGCTTAAAATTCTAAATATTTCCCCGGACTGCAAAAGATAAATCGGAAGAAGGATGAAAAGTGAAGGAGAATGGACTAAATTCTGAACACAAGGCAGCCGACTATGAACAAAGCCATACATCTATCTAACTAAGTCGTTTTGTTTGTTGACATCTGACCTCAAATGCAAATTTAGGTAAATTTACAAGTCAAAAACCAGAAAAATCGCAAGGTTGGAATTTTTAAAGCAAACTTTGCCCGCAGTTCTCACCCTTCCATTCAACATCTCACATACACATGTAATTTTCGGTCATTTCCCCAGCAACAATTTGACTTAATTACATTTAGCATGCTTCATTTTATTTTATTTCTTTACCGTGTGTGTACTAGGTTAAAAATCTAAAATTATCATAAACACTTCATGACCCGACCTAATTTAAGACCCAAATTCAAAACGACAATGAACAAGGCTTTGAGCCCGAAAATTTAAGTGTTCATAATTTGCAGTAAAATATGTCTTGAAACCCGACTTCAAGCTTATTTTGGCAACTTTATAGCCTCTGCAATTCTACAGGCTGAAATATGTGGGCATACACACACAAACAAATAAACACATACATGTGTACATACATAGAAAAGCTCTTGACAGTACGCATTTTTGCATTTATCAATGATGCAGCATCGCATAAAAATGGAACCACCGAGTTAGCTCGCGAATGACGCAAAAGTCTGTTAAACCACCCAACCTGCTCCTCAAACCCAGCCATACCGCGAATACCGCCTTTGCCACAGTGAGATGAGAAAATAAATTTATATGCGTCAGGTCACCAAATTGCCCATTCGGTTCATCGCTGACATGACAAATGATTGCTGTCTAAAAACAGACGATATTGGCGGTTTGTTTTTATACACCAATGAGCCGTTTGCTTGTCAGGTCACTCAATCAGGTCTCTCCACCAACCAGCTCTTTAGTTCTTTTCTACTAGGTCATACATTAATTCATCCACCTGTTCATGCTGTCTGAAGTAAACATTAACCAAAGTTCAAAATTCTCATCTGTTCCTACTGAATTTGGTATAATTTTTGCAGCTTCTGGCTGGTGATTAAAATACCCTTTTCCTAGAGCGGTACCTCATGCCCTTATGCGAGCTAACTCGATTTATATATGCTGGCCACCTCTACATTTAAGAGGTGGCCAGCATATTAAAAAGCACACTCAAGCCTTTCGTGCTCACCGTTGCCTTCTGCCCAGGAAAGGAAAGCTTAGTATGGCACTCCCAGAGTAGAGAAGTTTTGAAAAATTAGTAGCTTCCTTCATAAACAACATCTTCTAGAAAATTTTGGTAACATTTAATTACAAAATCCGGTTTTGATGGCAAAACTCCTTACAAAACTGCTGTTAATGCTGTTGTCCACCACCAGTAGCCAAGTGGTGCCCAGAGCATTTTGGCAAGATGGAAATTTGACTTAAAAAAATGCCTATTTAGTTATATACAAAAATATAAAAGAAATGAATAATTGGCCAACGCACGAGCTGTCCATGCGAAGATGCGTTTTTTACATAGTTCCCCGCAGTTTTTGTCGCTACCGGCATCGGTTTTTTCGGC